ATAGGTCTACATTATCGTACTGCTTGTCCATGACAAACGCCTTCCGTTCCAACAAGAGAATCGGTAAATTCCCGAAAGCTGCAAACACACGCAGTCCTTCTGCATCAAGATGATCAGCAGCATCAAGCGGACGGGCATGTGTCCCGGATTGGCCGGCCCAGGCGGGAGGCGACGAGGAATGCTGACAGGCCCGTCCGGATCGTCAGCCTTCCGTTTCCGCGGCCTCGCTGACATGTTCGTTGCAAAACGCTGGATAAAATGGGAGGCGGTTTGGGCTGAGCATTTCAAGGGTTCTAAATCGCTGCTGAACTACTGCCGTGCCCAAACATGCCAAGACACTTAATCGTCTTCATGTTGTCAGGCTTGGGTATGCTGACTGCCAGGAAGTGCTGAGCCTTCGCTCAATCGAGCTAGCTTTTTTGAACCAATATTCAATGGCTTTGGCACCGCATGTCAGTCAAGAAGCAGGAGCCTATCCAGTGCGCCGAAAATGCTGTCAGCCCGGGCTTGCATTCACAATAAATGCAAAGAATCATCGCGGCTGCCATCCACAAATGCGTCGCACGTGCCACGGGAAAAACATGGTAGTCTTTTGCTCGCAGAGCTGGGCTGGGTAAGAACGTGTTCCCGCGGACCCCCTAGAGCATGAACTAATCCCCCGATGCAGGCTGTCTGGCCAGCCTGCAAAACCCCAGAACTCAAGGCAACTAAACACGCGCGATCACGGTGTTGCAGACCCGGGCGCTGATGTGTCACGTGCGATGGAAAAACTCAAGCCGGACCTGGAGGCAAGATTGGTGTACGGAACAACTATAGTTTTGCGCCACTTGGAACACACGTGATCACAGTGTGAGACCCGTGTTTCAAAAGTGTCATGGAGCAAGTGCGTTGAGGAACGCATCGCCTAATCCACATCCTTGGGCTCAGGTGAGGCAGCTACAGCCTTTTCCGGCAGCGGCTTGGGGGCACGTGGGCTGGCAAAGTTGCCGCAGCAAGGAGGAACAAACCCGGTGGCTCGGAAAAGAGCAGTTGCTTCCCTTGCAACTTTTCTTGCGTGCTCTTTGTCATTGTTGGCGGCCAAGGCTCTGCGGTACATGTTCGAGTACACATTGTTGGCTTTGATGTGCAGCGGTGGCTTCACAGCGCCGGGTGGAATGGCTGGAACGGCGGCCTCTCCTCCTGGAGCTGCGTTGACTGACCTTTCGGGCTCCTGGCACCTGGGAGACATTCGCACCTTCTTTGCCTTCGCGTTTTGTTTTTGCGAGAAGTCTTGGGCCCCTTTCCTCTTAAGAGCTGGTTTGCCGCAAGTGGTGGGGGGCGGGTTGCTGCAGGCAGTTGCTTGCCCAACTGGCTCAGCTTGCTTGGTTGCCTTGCGCTTTGCTGTGGCTTTGGCCTTGGCTGCTTTCTTCGAACCTTGTTCCTTTGCTTCTGTGTCTGAGGTTTTGCGCTTTTTCCGTCCGCGTTGTTCACCTTGCTCTGCAAACACCGGCGGCTCGGCCTTGGACACCATGTTTTGGATGTCAGGCAGGTACTTTGGTTCGTCTGGGAGGGGGTACCGGGTGTCTTGCATGCCAACCTTCTGGTCCGCATCTGGCGGTGGCAGCGTGGCGTCTGACAGCGGCGGCTGTTGCTTGGTGTCTGTGTCTGGTGCGTCTGGCAGCGGCTGCTTGGGCTTACGTGTCTTTGTGCGTGAAGCGGAGCTCTTTGCTGAAGGCTTGAAAGGTTCTGGCTGGTCTGCCGCAACCGCTTGGTCTGGCTCCTTTGAAGCGGGGCTATTCAACTTTTTGGGCGAGGAAGGTTCAGGCTTGCCCCCAACAGGCTGTTGAACTACTTGGCTTGCCTTTGAAGGGGGGCTCTTTGCCGGGAGCTTGGGAGGCTCTGGCTTGGCCGCTGGCTCCTTGCGAGGCTCCCCCATTCCTTCAAAAAGCTCAGGCACGACTGCTTGGTGTGGCTTGTCTGAAAGAGGGTCCTTTGCTGGAAGGTTGAAACGTCCAGGCTTGGTTGCTGGCTCCTTGTGTGACCCGTTCTTCGCTGGAGGCTTGGAAGGCTCAGGCTTGGCTGCTGGCTCCTGTAAACGGGAGCCCTTTGTTGAAGGCTTGGAAGGCTCAAGGTTGTGGGCCGCAACCACTTGGCGTGACGCCTCTGAAGGGGAGTTCTTCGCTGGAGGCTTGGACGGGTCAGGCTTGGCTGCTGGCTCCTGTGAACGCGAGCCCTTTGTTGAAGGCTTGGAAGGCTCAAGGTTGTGGGCCGCTTGGTGTGACCCCTGTGAAGGAGAGTTCTTCGCGGAGGCTTGGAAGGCTCAGGCTTGGCTGCTGGCTCCTGTGAACGGGAGCCCTTTGTTGAAGGCTTGGAAGGCTCAAGGTTGTGGGCCGCAACGTTTGACGGCTGCAAAGGGGAGTTCTTCGCTGGAGGCTTGGCAGGCTCAGGCTTGGCTGCTGGCTCCTGTTGAAGGCTTGGAAGGCTCAAGGTTGTGGGCCGCTTGGTGTGACCCCTGTGAAGGAGAGTTCTTTGCTGGAGGCTTGGAAGGCTCAGGCTTGGCTGCTGGCCCCTGTGAACGGGAGCGCTTTGCTGAAGGCTTGAGAGGTTCAAGGTTGTGGGCCGCATCTGCTTGGTGTGGCTTGTCTGCTTCCCCAACTGCTTGGTTGGGCTTGTTTGAAAGGAGGCCCTTGGCCCCTTCCTTTTCACCCGCTCCAGCCATTGGGCTGAGTGTTGGAACGTCCTCAGAGTCCAGCCAACGCTTTTATAGGAAAAAAACATTCAGTTCCAAAGAACATGTGATGTTACGCACCTTTTTCACGGGTAAAAACAAAAACCGAGCCTCTGCCGTATCCTTGACACCTGCGTCAGTCAGCGCCAGGGCGAGACCCTCTTTTGCTGGCGTGGGCGTGTCCTGGCAAGAGGCGGGCCGCTCAAGGGAAAAGGGATGGGAAGAGCCCCTCCTCAATCTCATCATCCGAGATGATGCACAGTGCGACCGCAACCTTGGTTGTCTGAAGAAGCAGCATAACACGCTGTTAACTTTTGTAGAAAAGCACAAATTAAGACTGGAAACTGTGGTATGGCTTTGCTCAGCCACACCATCTTCGACATGCTGGGACAAACGTGCCAAAGGAGAGAGCGCAGCTCCCCCTAGAATCTTGGTAGACGGTGACCGGCTCACCCTGTTCTTGCATTCCGGAGGTGAGTCCTGCGTAGAAGTTGGAGAGTCATAGTTTGTTTCCTGTGAGTCCAGGTGGACAGTTCCCGCATGGCAATGGTTCCCGCTCTGCAGGCTGTGGCTATGCTCCTCTGCCATGTGGCGACCATCCAGGCAACCTTGTGCGGTGGGGTGGCAAGACCCAATATCAAGTGGTGGGTTCTCAATAAGGTCAGGGCCAAGTAGGCTTGAAGAAGGGACCTGAAGCGGAATCTCCCCAACAACGTTACGTAGCTGCTCAATTCCAGTGGGGACACGGCCAAGCCGAAACGCTGAGCGTAAGGGTTGCAGGCGATCTCCTCAATGGCCACGGGACCTGCTGTCAGGGGCGCAGGAAAACTGAAGCATGCGTGCAAAAAACCAGCGGCCTCCATCAGCTATAGCAGTCGGTGTTGACTCCATGATTGGGGCAGAACACTCGTCGAGCATATCAATGTCTTCGTCATCGATTTCGCAAACTGCGGTTTGCACTGGGGCTACGGCTCTGCTTGGCCTGATGGCTTGTTGCTTGTTCTCTGCGGGCAGCTTGTTACCTTTTCGACAACTCTCACGAGCCCGACGGGGATTGCTTTTCATGACGGCGGTCAACTGGGCAGCCACCTTCAGAGGGAGAACTGCGCGTTGTACCCAGCAAGCAACTGATCACAACATTCAAGCGACAAGGGGCCTCTCCAGCAGTTTTGCGGGTTGACGCTTTCCGCCAGTACCGGCGTGCATAACTGAGAATCGCAAAGACAGTGTACGCCTCCTAAGATGTGTTCAACTCAACCCCAAAAAATGGGCGCAGCACGGCTAATCTGGCCAATGCAAACACGCGTCGTCGTTTGCCCATCTGCGTTTCTCCTTTTGGAATCTTGCGCCCGACAGACTCCATGAAGCATCTTGGTCAAGCCGAGTGAACACCACCCTGAGGAACAGAATGGAGTACTCCCCTTGGCTATTGAAATTGATCACATCACTCCCCGTGCATCATCAAGTCAATGCTTTGCGGTAATTACAGGCAAAGCATCCTTCCGGTGAAAGGTCATACAAGGCCAACACCAAGGGCAGATACCGCTGAAGGTCCGCAAAGTTCACTTGATCAGGACGTACGTCCGGAAAAAGGGTATTGCCAGGTGATTTTTGCTTGGCGCATTCCAAAAAGGCTTGCCCGGGGATGTGCAGCTTGATTGCACCTGCAGCTACGCGCATGGTGGTACCCCCTCCTTTGACAAAACATGTTTTGTCCATGCACCAAGGGTCCCAGCCTATCACCTCCGCTTCTCTCCCATCCAGCACACCCATATTTTTTTGTGGCTCGCGTTTGAGCCCCGCTAGCTGCTAGGATGCGCGGGACTAGTGTTAAACTTTGCTCTTGCAAGCAAAGCAGCAAAGCACTCAAGTGCACGCAAACAGTCCTCTCCAGCATCGGCCGCGAGGCATGCGCTGGGCTGATCGTTCCGGCCATCAGCGCAGAGCGAGACACGCGGAAGGCAAAAGAGCGAGCCTTGCCTGACCCCTAAGATGTCACAGTGAACAGGTTGCGACGTCTGCCCTGCTGTGCCAACTAACTGCCTCCTGCAGACTTTTAGGGTTGAGCTGATGCTGATTGAAATTTGCGGGTATAATGGACGGGCCCTCGGGCCCTCAACTGCCAGAAAGCCAGGACCCCGCCACGTCAATAGCACAGTATTTGTGCCCGACCCCTCCTATGCACACTCCGACCCTTCCAATGCAGGTACCAAAGAGCCTTAGGGCAGCTAAACTTTCTTTGATGAACCCACTGGGACCATCATTAAAGCTTCGGCAGCGTCCACATCGACAGGACAAAAGCACAACGCATTTTGTGGACATAGTGGCTTGGAATGCGCAGCTGAAGAAGGCGGATGCCAATCACAGTCCCATCGAGACTCCGCACGTCCGTGTTTGCAGGCGGCTCTTTTGGCTGATAGTGGCAACGGAGATTCCGCAGAAGCCGGCGCCTGAGAGCTGCCAGTCAACACGAACTTCGTGACTTGGCGTTGGCAGGTATTGGATGAGGGCGGTGCTGCCTTCCCCTTGGACCTCTACATCGGGGCTTCGACCTCGATTGTGTTCGGTTGATTCATGTCTTAGAGTACGTAGTACCTCAGGGCTACAAGGTGGCAGCTCACAAAGCGGAAAGCAGATTGGACATAGACAGGAGCTGTGCCACTGTGCAGCAAAGCTTTGCCCTATCGTGGGCGCGGACAGGAAGCGCATCTTGCATTTCTTTGCGAGCACTCCGGAAGATCGCTGGGTACCTCTCTGAGTTTACGAGTCCATTGCAGATGCATTGCTTGCAATCCCCAGGATAAAGTGCTGCCTCCAAACGACAGCAAGGCGTATGCCGCTGTAAACGCACGACTGCAGCACAGGCGCGTGCCTTGCAAGTGCTTTGCTCAATCTTGGCAAGTGCCCTGGCAATTGTCACTGGGCTCTGAGGTTCATTGCTGGCGCGTTTGCGGCCGCTGCAATCAAAGATGATGCCGATGCCTCAGAGACGTTAAAGCCTCAGGGATCTGCGTTTGGGAGATGCCAGATGCCAGCGGAGGACAAAATGTTGAAGAAGATGGCATCGGAGCATCCCAGCTTCAAGGTTCCGTTTCTTCGGCGTCGAGTCGAACTTCTCTCCCTTGGCCCGGAGTGCTTCATGTTCTTCATGTATAGACTCGCGGCGCGGCTGTGAGGAGAGCTGCACGGCGTACGGCTTCCATCCACTCCACGCAGGGGTCCTCAGATCCCGAGCATCCGATAGGCTCGGAGTGCGTGCATGTTCAGCACAGGGTGTTATCAGACACGGGCAAACAATTGAGCAACGGACAACATTGATGCAGAGCACAACGCTTGGGACAGACCACGTAACACGTTCACATGGACGCCATTTGCTTCAAATACGAAGCGCACTGAGATGCTAAGGTGGCGGCAATGAAGGGCTCTCATGAAGCCCTGAAGGTCCTGGCGCGGGCCAAAGCGCATGGAAAGCGGGCACAGTGGTGTGGGATCTGGTGTCGGGAGCGCAAGCGCACGTGGCACACGAGGTTGACCTCAACTGCGAAGTGGACGCAACAGCAAGCGATGGCCGTACGCCGCTGTTTCTGGCTGCTCGGGAGAGCTGTGAGCTTTGCATGGTGTCCGTGTGCATATTCCTTACAGCATATGCAGTCCCACGCGTTGGCAGGAGGGCCATGACACAACGGTCACACAATTGCTGAAGGCACCAGCACCAGTGAAAGATTGTCTTGCAAGTCAACACACCTGTAGGCCAAGGCGGATGTGAACAAAGCCATTGGCAGTAAGTCTGCCTTGCATGCCAGCATAGAAGGCTGGCTTGGCGCTAGACATGTTGCAACACTCTTGGCTGAAAGCAGGTGGCCACATCACCATATCTGGTAACTTGCTGGATCACAAGGCCCACTTGCTTTTTGGATGTGCGGTGGAAGTGCCTTGCAAAAGACACTCCAAGTGCGTTGCCTGTTACATTGCCCGTTTCCATATCCCATTTCTGAAATTCTCCGTTTCCTTCGTTTCCTTCGTTTCCTGTCACTTTCAGGCCAACCCGGACTCGGGCACGGGTGAGACCCCGCTGCAGCTCGCCGCGCGACACGACCAGGCAGTGTTCGGGAAGTGACGGACTTTCCATAGGCCTTAGAAACCGATGGAAAGCGAGGCTGCAATGTGTGGCTTGCTCCTGGATTTCAAGGCAGACCCCTTGAAGGAGTGCGTTTTACGTTGGAGTGAGGCACCGAATGGATCCGAATGGCAATTGCTTGAGGAGTCTCCTGATGGGCGCAAGTCAATGGCTTGGGATGGACGTTGCGACATGTTGCAATGAGCTCTGTTTCGTTTCAGGCCTTTTGAGTTGGTCCGCAAGAGCGAGAAGCTTGCTGACACCTTGAAGCAGGCGCTAGACTGTAAATGTGTCGTGTCCTTTTTGTTTCGGAACAAGCGATCTTCTTAAATGCAGTACCGCTGACAACTGACACATTCATGGGTCAATGCAAGCCACACACACACACATGCGAGTCGTTCTGAAACCCTTGCATTGTTTTTTAGACTGAGGGTCGCTTTCTTCTTGGGCGGCTTGTCCGCGGCAGTGCGGCGGAAGCTTGTGACTAAAAAGTAACATGTGTTTAGATCCCATGCTTTCATGATTAGATGTAACGTGTTTGTCGAACACTCCTTGGGTCAAGCTGTCCTGTCAGAATCAGTCTCTGTACCAGACCAAGGGCCTAGGGGGGCACCAAGCCCTTGCCAGCCACACCTGGACAGGTCGAATAAGGAGATGAAAAAAGGTTCAGCAGCCTTAAGGAGGGCTCAGGTTGGGTCTAGGGCCAAAGGAGACTTCAGCAAGGTCTGAGAGAGTTGAGAGGAGTCTTCCGGAGATCTGAGCGGATGAGGTGCAAGGCCAAAGGCATAGTCTACGAGACGCCAAAGTTGGCTAAACTTGGCTAAAGGCTTGGGAGGCTTCAGTGTCCAAGAGTGGGCTGAAGCATGCTAAATAGGCATTCCTGGAAGTCAGGGAGGCTGTTTCTCGTTCCCAGGCAGCCTTGCAGGCCCACGCGGGGCAAATGCACAAGCGGAGGCCCAGCGCGGCAGCCTTAGCAACGAGTCCAGAGATGTTTCCGGTGCGACGCAATCTCCGCGTGCGTTGCCCTGAAGTCGGGGGATGGGATCCGTTTGCAATATCCCAGGTTCACGAAGCACGCATGGTACTGCGCTCAGTTCGATTGATGTTCATTTCTGTGAAGAACATCCAGCAAGCTGCAGCAAACACTCAGAATGTGAATCACTGAAATACGAAAGCCCCTCTACAAGTGGTGTTGAAATGTGGGCGCGTGCGAAACCCCATTCGTTACACGGACGGCCAAACGGGCACCGGGCACCCTGAGGTTCGTGATCTGTCCCAATTCTGCAGCAAAGAGGTGAAAGATTCCAGGACACGTGCAACAATACAACAAAGCAGCGAGCATCGCCTCACTTCCCAGCATGGCACCCAGACCAAGCATGGGAGCATGGCAAGGAGGAAGTGATGCGGCGTCCGCAGCATTCGTTTCGTTTCTGACACCGTTTGAATTCATGGGTTCAGGGTTGAGCTCCTCGGTTAAACCGAAGCGGTCTCGGGCTGCCCTTTCAAGCGGCAGCTTTCCGTGCCTCACCGACATTAACCCAGCTGTTTCACCGCACGACAAAGATCCGGTGCGAAAAGCGCTCGAGTGCTCGTGTGAGGCGTTGCTTCCCACATTGCAATTCCCTGCACGAGCCCGGAACTTGCCTGCGAATGTTTGGCAGATCAAACATATCCGGTGATGGTTATGCATGCGGCATGGTATCATGAGAGAGGCTTCACTCTCTGAAGGTCCCTTCCAACACACAACTGTCAACTTGCAGCCCGCTTCAAGAAGTTGTATCGCGCATCGCCACTGCTCTAAATTGACATGGAAATACACTGTGCCATGGATTTGGTTTAAAGCCGAGTTTGTGCCTGTTTGGACCTCGTCCCTTCGTGCCTTTTCTTGTGAGCAAGCTACCCTTAGGAACCGCTTCCAGCCCTACTTGTCTCGCGATGGTGTTGGAGGCTCGCCGTGCGCGAAAGAGACAAAGCTTTCGTTGTACAGAGAGAGAGAGAGATAGCGAGAGCGAGTGGGGGAGAGGTTGAGAGAGCACGGTTTCAGGGTTGAGTTTGAGGAGCCTGGCGAGCTCTTCAGCAAGGAGGCGGAGGATGCATATGATGACAGGGCATTGGGTTCCATACAGGCCTTGGAGCACGCGCAAGAGGCCGCGAATGAGCGAGCAGCGCAGGCGGAGAAAGCGAGAGAGAGAGAGAGAGAGTGGGAAAGAAAGAAAGAAAAGAAAGAAAGAAAGAACCAAAGAAAGAAATAAAGAAAGAGAGAAAGAAAGACAAACCAGAGAGGAAGAAAGAGCAGACAGAAACAAACACAACAAACAAGATAAGGATAGAAGATAGTAAAGACAGATAACAAGACATATTGAAGAGGAAATACATACAGAAATAACATAAATCAATAGCTAAATACAATTAAATCATAATACACATAACAACAACGAAAAACATAAAGTAAAAGCAGAAACGAAGCAAGACAGCACGGAACAAAAGGAAAGACACACATACAGAAAGATAGACATAAAGAAACAACGAGATAAAGAAAACAAAAACAGGAAAAGGAAAGGAAACAGGGAAGAACGAAAAGCAAGAGAGAGAGAGAGAGAGCAAGAGAGAGAGAGAGAGACACAGAGAGCGAGCAATCAAGACAAACACAAACAAGGACATAAGGAAAGAAAGACAAAACAAAAGCACAGAAAGAAAGCCAGGAAGGAAGAAATACAGAAATAATAATCGAACGGAATCAAGAACGAGAGAGAGAGGGAGACAGACATGAAGAAAGGAACAAAGAAATAACGAAGGATCAGCAACGCAGAAATAAAAGAAGAAGCACAGAAATATGGCAAAGAAAGACAGAAAGGAAGGAAGGCAGGAAGGAGCAAAAGAAAGACGGAAAGCAAGACAGAAAGAAAGCAGAAAGAACGAGAGAAAGAGATACAGAAATAATATGAAATAATGAAAGACCAAATTAAAAAAAAAAGTCAAGCAAGAAACCAAGAGAGGAACACATATTGAAATAATAAACGACTTACCGAGATGAATAATAATAAACAAATAAACAAAGAACCATATAGATCAAGAGAGAAAGAAAGCAAGAAAGAAAGAACAAAGAAATAAATAAACATGAGAGCGAGAGAGAGAGAGAGAGAAGGAAAGACAGGTCATGAAACAATCAGAGAAAGCAAATAAAGAAATAAATAGCAAATTTCATCAACGAAGGAATAAGGAAAGAAATATGGCAAATAAAGAAAGAAAGACAGAAAGAAAGGATTGAAGGAAGGCAGAAAGAAGTATTGGAAGGAAGGAGGGAGGAAGGAAGGAAGAAGGGAAGGGGGACGGAATGCAGGAAGAAAGCAAGTAAAGAAGGAAGGAAGGAAGGAAGAAAGGAAGGAAGGAAGGAAGGAAGAAGGGAAGGGGGACGGAATGACAAAGAAAGCCAGTGAAGAAGGAAGGAGGGAGGAATCCAGGAAGGAAGCATGGAAGGACGGAATGAAGCATGAAAACAAGGAAGGAGGAAGGAAGGAAGGCAGAGCGGAAGGAAGAATTGAAGAAAGGGGAGAGAGAGAGAGAGAAAGAGAGATAGAGAGGACAAGTTGTTGGACGTGAATCTTTAGTCGCAAGACAGGTGCTCCGAGAACATAAGCTCCGGGACCCGCCAAGGCCCCTTTCACTTTCCCAGGCCGAAGCAACTAAGCACCGCTGGACATGGCGCGTTTGAGTCGCTCGTCAGGGTGTGCAACTGGTCAACTTCTATGGCCAGAAGCTGCCAGAGCTTTGTACCTTGGTAGATGGCGTCGAGTCGAAGGATCAGCGGAAAGTCAACGGAACATTCGTGAAGCCACGCTGCCCAATGTTGGCGCACGCAAAAACAGCTGGAGGCAAGCTTTGCTCTGCGCCTTCGGAGGCGAGGGCAGCACGCCGACTGTGCAGCAAAATGCAAAGACTTGCACTCCAAAGCATCCGAGATTTGAAATGTGACGCATGCGTAGATTCTTGAGGGGCGGTGGGGGGCTCAAGCTGGTCACAAATGCCGAGCTGCAATGGCCGTCGATATTCCTGGATGGCACGATCACCAATGTGATCGGCTGGATAGCTTCAATATTTCCGCATGCCTTGCACTGACAGGCAGGTCTTAGACGGTAGCGACATGATGGGCACTACTGTAGCCAAATTCGGCAAATTAACGGGGATTTTTGCCATATGGTGCAACAGAGACCAGTGCAATTTGGCGCTTGAATTTTGCACCAGGCGAAGTTCTGGCAAGCGTTCGCTTGTCCAGCTGTGACACGATTGGCACGCTCTGCCAGCGTATTGCGCAGGCCACAGGCCAGGGAGAGGACATGAACATGTAAAGAGTATTGCAAAGTCGAGAAGAGCTCAGAACTGTCAAAATTTCAGTCTCGGCACCACCATCTTCCCATCATAGCAACTCTGGAAACGCAGCGCTTGGCGTAGGAGAGGCCTCCACACTGCAAATCCTGCACAGAGCCACCCGGTTTGAAGCATGGGGGATTTGCACATTGAAGCATGTTGGAGCATGTTGGAACTGAGGGTCGGGTGCTGGACTACACCCGGGACCTGGCATCTTTTGGCCTACACAGCGATTGTCGTGTGGAGGTTGTGAAGAACCACCGCCTTGTGCTGACGGGTTCCAGCGATGGCACCGCCAAAATCTTTAGAGCAGACGGGCAATGCTTCTGGCCTAGATATTGGGGCCACCGGACGTCTGGTGTCATTGAGTCATTTTCCCTTGGTCTATGGCCATGCATGTTGCCAATCACTCTGGTTGTGTTTTCAACCATGCTGTACTTTTTCCTGTTTTGTATTTACCCATCGTTTCTGCAATTACGCGTATCGGGTTGCCTCGCGACTGCTTTTTTGCTCTTCCATTGGCGGTCATGCGCTTGGGAGCACCTTGCTGAGGTTTGCTCACCATGTGCGGACATGGGAAGGCCGTCACTTCCGCTTGCTTTGCTCACAGTGGCTTGAAGGTGTCCTGTCCGGAATCGGCTCTGGAGTGGGGGAGCATGCCGGACGATGCCGGACATGGCACAAGTTGTGCCGCCAGCCCAGGTGGCTACGGCCTCGCAAGATGGCACTGCCAAGCTCTGGGTGGACGGCGCATGCCAGGACTGGCAGCCGGAAGTGCCAAATCGTTTCCACCGAACTTGCCTCAGGCGACCCTTCAAGGGCACGGCGGGTGCGTAGTGCGCTTCAGCACTGACTAGGTCCCAATCCTTTCAGAGTCAGTGCTGATTGCTTGAGTTGGAAGTTGGAAGCAATCAGCGCGTGCAAGGTCGGTGGACTTCTCACCCGATGATGCTTTATTGGTGACAGCTTCAAACGCTGACAACACTGGACGGATATGGAACCTTGAATCCCTTGCACCCTGGCATAGGAGGGCTGGCTCATGCCGTTCAAGCATGTTTTGCTTAAGGAGTGCCAGCGTGTGCTTGGTGGATATGAGCTCAACGCTGCAAAGTTCACCCCAGATGGATTGAAAGTACCTTGGACTTGGCACACGGTGCTGGCAAAACAAAAGTCCTGAACGTGGAAGATCCTAGAGGGACTTGTGGGTACTTCGGACCAGATTCATAGCGGCGCTGAATACACATCTCTGAGGTGACTTGGATACTCTTGGCACCGCTCAGGTGCTGACGGCAGTGTCATGGCACGACTGTGCTCTCTTGTGGTCTGTGGCGACCGGAGACGTCTTGCAGAGATTTGCGCCCCATGATGCTGCCACTCGGCCAGAGCGATCGCCTTCGATGCATCCTTCAATTGTGATGTCAGTCAATTTTGCATTGTGAGTCCTGCTTCCCTGACATCTGCATGAGCTGAGGTGGTGTCACACACTACCATGTCGCATGACATGTCCACCGTCGCTACGGCCACCTATGATGGGACTTTGAAGCTATGGTGGGACACTTGCTTGAATATCAGGAAGTCGTTCAATGCAGAAGATGGCAGCAGACTGCAAGCGACGCTGGCAGACTGTCGAGGCTGTCTCTGGGAAGCTACGGGCAAGGCTGACAGGCTTCGGAGAGAAGTCGAAGGCGTGGGCAGTATTTTTGTTCTGGAATTGGAGTCGGGCACACGGCTCAGCCCTTTTCTCGCAAGGTCCACGTCGCTTTCTCGCCAGACGACCGGCATGTGGCCTCCGCCTGCATCAACCACGTGGCACAGGTGTGGGACATCTCAGCTGGGACCGTTGTAACCCTCGGCGGGCAATGCGGACATGGCAACTCGGTGACCTCGGCAGAGTTCTCTGCCGACGGCGCCTGGGTGGTCACGGGCTCTTACGACGGCACTGCCAAGATTTGGGACCCCCAATCTGGCAAGGTTGTGCGCACACTGTCTGGCCACACTGACTCTGTGCGATCTGTCTGCTTTTCGTTTAACTGACAACATTCGCTGAAAAGCTCTTGTGTACATAGGTCTCATTGGGTTTCACCGCGTAAATCTCGACAAGGTTTGCAGAACAGGTCCGAGTCGTGCCCCCGCTTGCTTTGGATGTCCAGAGATCTACGGACGCCAGGTCTGCTGGACTGCCCTGGTCTTTTTCAGGCGTTTCTATGCCGCAGCATCAGCCATGGAGCGGGGTCGCGGCTTGCAAGTGTTTCTTTTCAAGCTCCCAAAGCCCAAACCCACAGGAGTTCGACCCTGCGACCACAATGTATGCCGCAGTGCACGTCGCGTGTGGCTGACTAACTTTCAATTCGAAGCTGAGCATTTCTGAGATTCTGACTGAGTTGCAGCTGATACATGTCACTGTGACTGGGCCATGGCCATGCTACCATCTCTGACATTCTCTGACCGCTTTGGCTCACAGCTTGCGTGCACCACGCAAGGCCCGTGCTGCTGACTCAGCACAGCCATGTCTTCGCGCGCGTGAGCAAATTTTCGTTCCAAGGTCGCCTCTACGATGGGTCAGCCAATGACTCGGGAGGTGGAAACTGTTGGAACCGAGACCTTTATTTGCTGCGCTGAGAGGATCCGAGACCTTTACATCAGAGTGCGGGGGTGGAGGGTGCGATAAGGAAGGCCTGCTGTCATTGCGATGCGGACAAAGATCGCAGCAATGAGGTCGCAGCCCAAAACCTTCTATGTGTTTCTTATCTCCATTGACATTTGAGCGAGATTCAAGGCAACAATTGCTCGGGCGATACCCGCCATGACAGATGAGAATGATGGCCCTGCATTGCCCGGAGCCTAAAATCGGCTGTGCGTTGAGCGAGACTTCACCTTCTGAGGGAGGCCATCGTAGAGGACGCGATGTCGAGCTTGTGACATTGCAACAAGAGTATTCTGTCCCAGGAGTCTCATCAGAAGGACTCCAGCTACTTTGATAGGGAGCTTGAAGAAATGAATGAGATGCAGGCCGCATTGATAATTACTGCTTGAGTTTTGAAGTAGCCTTTGTTGCGCATTTGAGACTGATGGCACCCAGGCCAGCGGCACTGTTGTGAAGGACGGTCAGCCCTTCACGCCCAGTGCCCAGCATCTTGGGCTTTGGATGCTGGTGGAAACACACAGATTCAGGGCATATCTGAGCGAAACCGACGTGTGAAGTGCGAGGTTCAAGACAGGGTCAGTCTACAAGGCCAGATGCAGTGCTCTTTGGCCCCTTTGGCCCCTTTGCCTGTGCGCCTGTGCGCCTTTGCGCGTCGTGCACCGCACAGGGCCAGTGGAAAGATGGTATGAGATCTGGCCTCGGAAAACACACCTGGGCGGACGGTGCCAGCTACATTGGTCAGCCAAGTCCTCAAGCTGTCAAGAAGGGCCAAGCCATGCCAAGCCCCCGAGGGAAACTGGCCCGTCAGGTGGGAAGACAACAAGCCCAATGGTCAGGGCGAGTTCCTGCACAGATTCTTGTCAGCAAGTGCTGCGAAACATCGTTCAATCATGCCTGAGCTTGTATGTTTTATGTTCTTTGAGGTGATGGTGATGTGTACGTTGGGCGCATTGCTCAGATGTGCCAAAAGCCCAAAATGCCAGAGAGTCAGAGAGTCACAGAGGCAGTGGAGGGATGGCATGGCGAATGGCTACGGGACCGAGACATTGTGCATCATTGTGCAGCTCTCAGCCGAAGCATTCAAAAAACCGTGGCAGGAAGTATTACCACAAGGGCAGTACTACCTACGAGGGGATGTGGTCGAAGGACATGCAGGCGGATCTCGTTGCATGAGACATGCTGATGCACACCGCTCGCCAGGATGGATATGGCGTTGAAATCTGGATGGAAGGCGCCCGCTTTGAGGCCGGAGGAACAAACCGTGTGTGCACATTGTGCACATCTCTTGACTAGATATCAACATGATCAGGGCACCTTCAAAGACGGACAGAAAGCGGGGTATGGTTGACTCCTCAGAGGGATGTGTCATAAATGCTTTCAGCATCCATGTGCACTTCGCCAGGCATGTACCGTTGGACAGATGGCTCCCTATACGCAGGTGCGCATGTCAACGATCAAGTTGTCAAGAGCAGCACCAGTCAACTAGGATAAAGCGAAGGCTGCTTCTCTGCCAAGCATTCTGCTAGGAGCTTGGTTCGACAATGTCATCGATGGCCCAGGTACGCACTCGATCCTTTTGGTTGCCAGAAGTTGGAAACCAATGTGTTTGAATATATATTGCCTGCAAAACAAACGTGCCAAGGTGAACACCTGGCAGTTGGGATTAGTTGGGATGGTCATGGACCCTTGCTGCAATAGGGAGTTCCGAATTAAAAGAACCAATGCAAAAAGGCTCCCATGAAGGGAAGCATGACCATGGCTGAAGTGTAATTTTGAGCATGCATTTTTGGTACGATACCCGCGCTTAGCAGGCACCTCCTTTGCGAAAAGAGCTGGTCTTGCAGGCCCTCGACGCATATCCAATATCATTCAATGCTGAGTGTTAACTTCCTTCTTTGGAGCTACCCAATCATCACATCAGCTACACGAAAAGGTCACAAAATACCAAAGCTCTACACGCAAACAACTTCTACACACCATCTTTGCAGGCAATTACCCACAGCTCAAACGACTTCTAAAGACATGTTCTGCTTCAGTATTCTTCATGGGGAATGAGACATGCCTAGGAAGCCCATTGGAATCATGCGTGCAATTCGAGAATGCGTGTGTGTGTGTGTGTCTTTGTGCGTGTTTGTGGAGATGCACTGGATGCGCACATGTATTGGTGGAGTTCAAAAGTATGCGCTCGCCATCGCTCGCAACCATGGTGGCTGCAAGAGAGTGTTTCAGAATCACCAGCCAGGCATGTTGCTTGCTCATAGGATTTGTTGCATTCCTGGCTTCGTATCCAAGACCTTGCAAAAGAGAACATGACACACCAAGCAGGAGCAGAGAGACAAGATACTCCTGCCCTGAATTCAGCTGACAGCTAGGGGATAATTGGTTTAAAGGCTCCGCGATCCTGCTGTCATGTGATTGTGGTCGAAGGCCATGACTGAGTAACATGTTGATCTTCCGGCCAGGTTCTTACATTGCCAATGACGGCCGCTCCTTTAAGGGGCAGTGGTCGGACTGGGCTGGGTTGCTTGCACTTGCAAGACGCATGCAAGCTGAGTGCGCATCCTGAATGTAGGACTCGATGATTCATGGCCTGGGGAAATACGCGCGCAGCCCAGTTGTGACGGGGTTGAACGAGCTTTCCATTTGGCTCAGGAGTGGCCAGGTGGTAGGTGGCCAGGCCCTTAGACTTACCTTCCAAGTCGTCGCTCAGATCTTTCTTTTTCCGTTGCCTGACCGAGGTACGCTGGTGCATATTTGAATGATCAGAAGCAAGGCTTCGGAGTTTTCAGCCCGGCACTCATTGAGAATGTGCTCAACTTTGGTCTGTTGTCACTCCAGGTTGGCCAGACGGCCGCAAGTGCCCACCTTAGAAATTTAATCCGAGCAAGATTGCCTGTCTCAACCCGCATCTCCGCGAAGAGTTCATTTTGGCATTTGGGATTGCGAAATATCCCGGTGCCCAAGAATGGTTGTTGCTTAAAACACCCTGCAAAACGATAAGAGTAAAAACAAACAATCACAGGGTGCCAGTCACGATTTTCAAGCTGCAGCTGCGGAAGTACTGCCAAGATGCGATTTTCGAGCTGGAGCGGCGGAAGTGTACTTCGCGTACTAGACTTGTGCTGCAAAATTGCGATTTCCGAGCTGGAGCTGCAGAATTGTACTTCGAGCTTGTACTACAAAGTTGGGATTCCTGAGCTGCAGCTGCGGAAGTGTTACAAGACTTGCACTACCACGTTGCGAATTTCGAGCGAGAGCTGCCAAACTGTACTTCGCGTACCAGACTTGCGCCGCACGCAGAGCGAAACCCCTGCAAACAACAAGGGTAAACGAAGATGTGATTAGCCATGATTCATTTCATCAACAGGGATGTCGCGGTAGTGACTGACCTGTGATGTTTGGCTCAAGTTTTACGGGTTCCGTCGCGCCTCGGATGGGCGTCGCCGAACCCCTGCGTCGACCGACGGCATCTCGGGGGAGAAAGAGACCTCGGGCCGCCGCCAGGTTGGTAGGGACCATTCGTGCGGCCTGTCGTCGATCAAGGTTGCGGGTTAACCCTTTTCTCTTTTGGTTGTTGTTCTCTGGTGTGTGGGAAACCCTGATCTTTGGGACCGGGGATTGGTTTGCTTTTGGGGAACCTTTCTTTTGTGGCTTGTTTACCCCAACTTACCCATTGCCTGGGCACAGGCTCGTGCCCGAATCACAGGTTATCAGCCGTAGGACTTTCCTACGCGCTTGAGACCATCAACTACAAGCTCTATGTCGACCCCACGATCTCGAAGGAGTGTCGTGGATGAGGAGGCCATCCTAGGGGGCCTCCGCTCAGGTGAGGACCTACCGGACTACGACTACGAGGATTTCGAAGCAGGTTCGACAGGTCAGGATCGCAGGGGTGAAGATCCCGGTAGGGACACACCCAGAAGCCGTGGCAGGTACACCGACGATGGAGACGATCGCATTTTCCGTCATGATGATGAGCAGACACGAAGGGTTCGCTCCGATAGGAGCGGCTCTGAATCAGGTCACAGGCGCGGACAGTTCGACTTCATCAGCATGGCGATGAACATGGCCCGCCCTCATTCGGACGACCCGGAGGCTATGCCGACCCGACCCCCGAGATCTCTTGTTCCAGGTGAGTCTCAGGTATCGGATGAGTTTGAGGACAGGCCGCAAGGACCAGGGACTATGGTTTTGGCTCCGAGAGATATCTCGGGTCGATCCACTGGTTCTCAAAATCCAGGTCAGTTTAATGAGCATGAGGAGAGGAAATTCACAGGCCTCGGATACGATGATCTGTTGAAATCAACCGCGGGTTGGGGCAGTAGCTCAAAGCAGGGATCTGATGCCGGTAGGCCCAACCCTAATACTGTCAAGTCTGAGCTCGATGATGATGATGAATATGCCGCATTTGCGGATCGTCGTGATGAAGAAGAGGATCAGTCACGCCGGAATGCCAGAATCCGTGCTGCCGCGAGGCCCAGGAGCCTCTCTCGTGGAGCTGCCAGGGACCTTCATGTTGACAGGGACGCCCGGAGCAAGAGAGAGAGAGCAAGGGATAGCCGGGAAGTTCTTAGGGGATTGGAGGCCATCCATGACCGGGAGGGACCGATAGGTCCCCCAGTGATTGGTGACACCCCGAACGTTCCCCCTTGTCCCAACATCACATTTGGAGGTCCGCTGCA